AACAGTCACCCAAAACTGGTGCCAAAGTTCATGGACACTCGGTGGGATTGATCCATCCGTGAGAAGTTGCACAGGAATCACAGGAAACCCCGGTGGTTTCGTTCTCCCAGGATGGACTTCATAAGAAAATAAAAAAGAACAAGGGATCCTCATGTTGCCACCATTGGTTTGCGTAGCGTTGCATCCGTCGAGCAGACGTGACCTTGCGGCCCACAGACCGGCAAATCATGGACCTTGCGTGGACAGAATAGGCACCCCACCACGACGACGACGAGGACGCATGGCCGCAGATTCAAAGTCCGCATCTTGCCTCACCGTTCTAAGAGAGGGGGCAGAACAGGTTGACAGACAGGGTCGTGTCACCGAGACGGGCAGACTTACATACACCGATCTGAGAAGGCTTGAACCCTTTGCTCCTCATCTCAAAACCCTCGGGCCGCCAATATAGCTGATTCGTCGGACTCCAGCTTCACGACGCGGCCCCTGCCGTGCACGGACAGTATGATGACCAGCCCAGCGGTTCAACTCCCTTTGTCCAGTTTGATCCCGTCGCGATATCATCGTACTGTCTTTGCCCCCAACCGTCTCTTGGCCCGCCTTCTCTGCCATAAGGTGGGGGTACATTGTGAGGAAATATGCGGCCTTGCTGCAGCTTCATCGTACAAGCATCTCCTTGATACGGCCCGGCCAAAAGATCAAGTAGGCCGTGTACCATCTGATGCGCCGTATCTGGACAAGATTGGAAAGGCAGTTGGGCAGTATCATGTACAATATGAGCCAATGGCATTCTCTGTTGCCAAGACAGAAAAATGGAGGTGGTTCCGGCAAAGAGGTCATCTGGCCTCCAACATCCATGGATGCCCAGCCGCCTGGTTGCCTGCTAAACCCGAGCCCCAGTTTCCAAGGGCGCAAAGGCCTCCATCGCATTACCAGTGACCCTTGCCTTATTTTTTTTCTTTTGGACTTCTTACCTCCTTCGACTCTGTGACACCCCCGATCGTGCAGCCAAGACATGCACTCGAGGCATCTTGGCGGCATGTCAGTTGAGAAAACTTGACCGTCGTGATGGTGACGGATTTCCAAGCTCCGGATTTCAGAATGACCATCTTGTTACGTGCTACCGGTTATCAAGTGATCATGGGGTTTTGGTGATGAGCGACGCTCCGCTAGATGCATTCTAGGTGTGTCCGTTGTGTGTCTTGGCTGTTGTTTCATGGCCCAGGTATTGAAACAAGTTTGTAGGGGTTGTGCTTTGTCGTTTGCGGGGATAGGATTCACGAGCAATAGCTGACTGACTTTTGGGTGTGGTTATATAATTTGGGTCACGACTCGTGCTCGCTGTCATCCGAAAGGTCAAGGTAAGTAGGTTAGACGATGCTGACGCTGAGCATTGGTGAAAGCATGGTGGATTCGGTTGCAGATTCATTCTGACTAAATGACCACGTGACTTTCTATCACGTGGTCGCTCGACTATTCATCGACATGGTTTTACGTGGATGTTCCGTGATTTGCATTTCGTTGGAATTACACATATAAACAAAATAGGGGTATAATTCAATAAAGAGGTCAAATGCGCTGTTGAGCTTATAGTTGTGCATCCTCTGAGCTGTGACGATTTCTGAAGTTGAGCATTCTTATCGCCACACCCTATCGATAAGAAAGCGCAACCTCACCTTTGATTCGCTTAGTAAACGCTCCAAGAAACTTCTTTTCATACCGGTCATTTTCGACATCAACAGTAGCAAAGCAACATCGCCATGACGAGCTTGAAGAGATCCCACGAGGGGGATTCCTTGGCCTCCAACATTTCAAGCAAAGTCTATGTTCGTTCAACACGCAGTGGTAAGGTCCAAAAAATCGTGAGGGAAGTCTATCTCAGAACCGACATTCCCTGTTCCTCCAAGTTATGTAGAGCTTGCCTAGAGGGGGCTCCTAGAAATGCATCTCAACAAGGTACGCTAGAGACTTTTCTCATCGAAAATACTTGCTAATACCGGGATAGCTCAGCCGTTCGTCCTGTCAGAAAAGCCTGCGGCTACCAAGGCCTTCCCACAAGGACATTACCTAGTGCCGGACACAAATGCACTTCTCAATGCTATGGATCTCTTTGAGCAAAGCTCAGCATTCTACGATGTGATTATTCTGCAGACGGTCCTGGAGGAGCTTAGAAACAGATCTCTGCCCTTGTACAACCGTTTGATTGGGCTTACCAAAAGCGAAGACAAGCGATTTTACGTGTTTTTCAACGATTTCCGGCTAGAGACATACGTCAACCGGGAGCTGAATGAGAGCGTCAATGATAGAAATGACCGTGCTGTTCGTATGGCTGTCAAATGGTACGGCGAACACCTGTCTGGGACTAAAGCAGGCGAGGTTCCTGCCATTGTCATGCTGAGCGATGACCAAGAGAACCTCAAGAAGGCGCGCAGTCAAGGCCTCAATTCACTCTCATTACGGGACTACGTGGGTAGTCTTGAAGATGGAGACAAGCTTCTTGACATGGTGGCTGAATCCCAAAGTCTGAGTCTGGGCGGCTTCAAGAAGCAGTCGCAAATGCTTTACCCTGAGTATTACAGCCTATCAAGGATGATGACCGGCGTGAAGGCAGGATTGATGCATCAAGGCATTTTCAACGTCTCGCCGTACAATTACCTTGAGGGCTCCATCAAAGTCCCAGCATTCTCCAAACCTCTTCTTATTCTAGGACGTGAGAGTATCAACCGTGCTGTTGATGGAGATGTCGTCGTCGTAGAGATGCTTCCCCAAGACAAGTGGAAGGAACCATCTACCAAGATTATCGAAGAAGACAATATCACCAAGAATGAGAATGCGGACACCGAAGACCGAAATGACTTTGTTTCAGACAAAGAGCGAAAAGCGCTGCAGGAGGAAGCAAAACGGACACACAAGTCCTCGTCAGAAAGTCAGTTGCAGCCTACTGCCAAGGTGGTTGGTGTAATCAAACGAAACTGGCGCCAATATGTGGGACATATCGATCCATCTTCAGCCAGCAAGTCCGCTTCATCCCAGGGCCGCAAACAAGATAGTGTTTTTCTCATTCCCATGGATAAGAAGATACCCAAGATTCGTTTACGAACCCGACAAGTATCTGAACTCCTGGGTAAGCGACTCCTTGTAACTATCGACGCGTGGGAGCGAGACTCTAGGCACCCAGTTGGACATTTTGTCCGCTCACTCGGCGAACTCGAAACCAAGGCCGCCGAGACAGAGGCTCTGCTTCTAGAATGGGATGTTCAGTATCGCCCGTTCCCCAAGACTGTCCTGGATTGCCTCCCCAAGGAAGGCCATGACTGGAGAGTACCCGCGAGTGTGGAGGACCCAGGCTGGAAAGATAGAGAAGACCTCCGTGGACTTCTCATCTGCAGTATCGACCCTGTAGGCTGCCAAGATATCGACGACGCCTTGCACGCTCGCAAATTGCCCAACGGAAACTTTGAAGTCGGCGTCCACATTGCCGACGTGTCACACTTTGTCAAGCCCGTCAACGCCATGGACACAGAAGCTAGCATCCGTGGGACAACGGTATACCTTGTCGACAAGCGTATCGACATGCTCCCGCCCTTGCTTGGTACGGATCTCTGCTCGCTCAAACCTTACGTTGAGCGATACGCCTTCTCCGTCCTCTGGGAGCTCAACGACAACGCCGACATTGTCAGCGTGCGCTTTACCAAATCCGTCATCAAGTCTCGCGAAGCATTCAGCTACGAACAAGCCCAGCTCCGCATCGACGACACCTCCCAGCAAGACGACCTCACAAACGGGATGCGCATGCTCCTCAAGCTCTCCAAAAAGCTCAAGAAGAAGCGCATGGACGCCGGCGCCCTCAGTCTCTCCTCGCCAGAGGTCAAGGTCCAGATGGAGTCGGAAACCTCTGACCCCATCGACGTCAAGACCAAGGAGCTCCTCGACACCAACTCCCTCGTCGAGGAGTTCATGCTGTTCGCCAACATTAGCGTCGCCGCCAAAATATACGACGCATTCCCGCAGACCGCCATCCTTCGTCGCCACGCAGCACCCCCCAAGACCAACTTTGACGAGCTGGCCGACCAGCTACGCGTCAAGCGAGGTTTCGAACTCCGCACAGATACGTCCAAAGCCCTCGCCGACTCCCTCGACGCCTGCATCGACAAGTCGGATCCCTTCTTCAACACGCTGGTCCGCATCATGGCCACCCGCTGCATGATGTCCGCCGAGTACTTCTGCTCCGGCACCCAAGCGTATCCCGAATTCCGGCACTACGGACTCGCCTCGGAGATCTACACGCACTTCACATCCCCCATCCGCCGATACGCAGACCTGCTCGCCCACAGACAGCTCGCCGCCGCCATCGGCTACGAGGCCGTGCACCCGTCCGTCCGCAGCAGAGGTCGCCTAGAGGCCGTCTGCAAGAACATCAATGTCCGTCATAGAAACGCCCAAATGGCCGGCCGTGCAAGCACGGCATACTACGTCGGGCAGGCACTCAAGGGCAACGTCGCAGAGGAAGATGCCTTTGTCATGAGGATTTTCAGCAACGGCTTCGTGGTGCTGGTGCCGAGGTTTGGAATCGAGGGTTTGATCAGGTTGCGGGATCTGGCTGAGCCCGAGCCCGAGAGCGAGTTTGATGCCGAGACGTATACGCTCGTGACGAGGGGCAGTAGGGACCTCAAGGTTGAGCTGTTCCAGAAGGTCAAGGTCAAGGTCAGGGATGAGAAGGACGAGAGGACGGGCAAGAGGGGCGTCAAGATGGAGTTGGTTACCGTGTAAATGCGGAGAGTAGCAACAAGTAAATAATAAAGGTCCGCGTATTTTGCTGAACTTCATACAACAGTACATTTGCGCGTGTAAAGCATCTGCGATCGCCAGAGATATATATCGTGATTCAACAACCAGCATACTAATCAGTACGGTGGTCGTAAATGATCGTATTTTTTTGCATCTAGTCCTTATTCCCAAAACGCCATACATGACAATGAAACCAGACCCATTTTAAGCCAGCTCTACTCTTCCATAGCATCCTCCGCGGCCGCGGCACCCTCATCGTTCCCCCACAAGCCATCCAGCTTAAACTCGGCAGCCCACTCCGTGACAATCTCCTTCTGGTCCGGCATGACCTCATCCTCACCCACATTCTGGACCTTCTTGGCAGGCCCGGCAGAGGCATCAGCCGACGCGACAGCCAAGGCAGGCGGCTCAACCCACCCCTGAATACGGCCATCTCGCCAGTCTGTAACAACAGTCATAGCAGCAGCGTGGATGTTGGGAACGCCGCCTCGACCCAATCGACCTCGCTTCCTAGCAACCTGCACCAAAAAGTCGGTTGTGACATCGCCGTCGAGTCTGTTGGGTAGAAGAGCCGGAATGTCATAAACATTGGTCAGTTTCTGCATCAGGTCTGGGGAGGATGAGAGACGGCGGATGAGCAGGCCGACTGCGGGGACGGGATCATCAATCTGCTTGGGAGGGACGGCGTTGAGGAGAATAAGATGGGCATGTGCTTCAGTTGCGTTTTTGAGGCTGACGAGGCCACCGGACTGGACGGATGACGAGGACGGGAACACGACGCCAGGAGAGTCGAGGAGCGTCAGCTTGCTGTCAATTTTAACGCTGCGAATGCTGGTGGTGACGCCGGCTTCGGCGCCCGCCGGGCAAGCTTTGGAAGAGCTGCCGCCCTTGCCGCTCATCCTGCTGAGGAGGGCGTTGATGACTGAGGACTTGCCGACGTTGGGGTAACCGATGACGCCGACGGACACGGCGCGCTTGAGTTGCCGGCTGGCGGCGTAGCTCTTGAGAGCTTTGAAAAGTGTCGCGGATGTGCTTTGAACCGTCAAGTCTCGGTGGTTGAAGACGTGGGCATTGGGAGCGGCACCAGAGGCCCGGAGGGGGAGCGTGGGGAAGTATCGTCGGAGATGGACGAGCCAGTCTCGCAGGACTTTTTGGGGGATCAAATCGACCTTGTTGAGAATCAAGATGAGGCGCTTGCCGCCAGCGGCAGCGGCCATGATGCTGCGCTCAACCTCTCGCGATCGAGTACCCTCGGGGTCTCGTGCATCCAAGACATACAGAACCACATCAGCCTGCTCAACAACCTGCTTGAACACCTTGTCGTACGTCTTGCGTGACGAAGCCTGGCCGACTGAAACCTCATTCATGCCGCCATTATTAGAATCGTCACTGTCCTCGTCGTCATCGTCCATGCCATCACTCTCCGCCAGCTCTTTGTCGTATTGCGCCGCCGCAGCCTTCGCGCTGGCGAGTAAAGCAGCCATGGGATTCGACTCATCCACATCCTCATCCTCGTCCATGAACTCATCATCCACGTCCCCAACAGAGCCCTCGGCATCTTCAGCATCGTCCATGACTTCCTCGCCGCCCTGCTGGGTGGCACCAGTCTTCGCAGCCTTGGCCATTTCCCTCTTCTTCTCGGCCTCGGCGGCCTTTCTCAGGCGCTTCTCTTCAATTTCCTGTAGAAGCTTCTCCTTGTACGGGAACAAGTTGGGGATGCCGGGGTCCTTTTTTAATTTGGACCGCCATTCTGGGTTCTTCTTGGCGAGCTTGCGCTGCTTCTTCTGTTTGGCTGCGGAAGCTTTTTCAATCTTGTTTCGGAGACGGGTCGTGCCCCTCTTGGACTTGGGTTCTATGGTTCGCAGTTAGGTTGCTGTAGTAGTACTAGGCATTATAATTGACTACAAACTGAAGACTCACTCTTTGGTTTGTTAATTGTGCCCGCCATCTTGTGCAAGAGAAGACAAGACCATGGAATGAGGAAGGCCGGACTTCTCGATACACCGTGTTGGTAGGCCAAGGCCGGACTGCAAATAAAAAAAAATTAGGTGGGATGCAGATTCTGCCGGCGCTTTCCCCCTTCACCGCTTTTCCCCCACAGCCCAGATAACAGCCACAGGCAACAGGCAATGCTGCAAGGTTCCAGCATCGACCTTTGTGGAAAGCCACACCGAACAGAATCTAGATCACAGCTGAAGCGTGATTGGCGCCACCATCTCCAGGACCCTTCAAGAGTCGGTAATAGAAGTAATACAGTACAACATCTCCGATAATATGGGTCGGCACACATGCTAAGACAGGATTACCAGCCAACGAGGTGTTGTGTTAGTAGCAGTCGATTAACTAGAATATTGCACTCTTCGCAGTGGATTTGTCTAAGCCATCTGATGCCTCGCACATGCTGGTTTCAACAACGCGAATTGGCGGAGATTGTCATCGCTTGGCATAGTGATCTGTTGCATTTCCATCAAGGCATCACACAAGGTCTATGCCGTTCTTTCACTGGCTGGAGAAATGTCGCGAGCAGCGTCCACGTCGCATGGGGAGCAAAAGTGATATACTTATTTCTTCGCCTCAAGAATAATCATTTCCTACTACTCCAGTTCGCCCCTTGCTATGATGAATCTCGAATTAAAACTCAACACCAAACTAGTGTCTCTCACTGGCCTCCCTGTCAACACAGCGTGATTGCTCAACTTCTCATCTCTCGACTCGGTCTCAGCCAACGAACCATGTTTGCGAGCATACAGCTTGACTTTCGAACCACATCATTCCTGCACCGGTCGTAGCTGAAAAGAAAAGAAAAAAACAAGCTCAAATAACCCTCGATCATTCCGTCGTCTGTTCATTAGGCGGGTGTAAAGTTCGTGAGTGAGCTCGATATTTTTTTCTAAAAAAAAAAAGACATGCAAACAAAAAGATAGTACTGTGTAACAAAGTGGGTAGAGAGAATCGAAAGCAGTCTGTCTGAGCAAGTCGCGAGTCATGTAATGGGCATCTAGTACAGCTGCAGACAGTGTTCAGATTACTCTCAGCCCATCTAGAGCAGATAAGCCATCAAGCCCATGGCAGCAACAAAGGCACCATTGCCCACAGGGGCCAAGGTAGGGCCAGCAAGACCCTTGGAGCTGGTAGAAGTCACCTGGGTGCTGCCACCACTCGTCTTAGAGGGCTGGGAGGCACCTGTGGTGGCAGTGGAAGAGGAGCCATCGCTGCCGCTGTCCTTAACAGGGCTCTTAGGAGGGTCGATTGAGGCGCAGAGAGGCTGAATGTTGTTGTTGCACGTATCCTGACCTTGGGCGTTACCAGCGTTCTGAGAGATACACTTCTTGAACACCTCCTGGCAAATGTAGAATGGCATGGTCTGCCTGTAGTACTGAATACCGGGGGTCGAGCTGTTCGAGGTGCAAGTGCACTTCCATTTGAGGTCCGACTGTAGCAGTATTCAGCAAAAGTCAATTCCAAAGATGGCAAAGCGACCCAGTTCTGAGAGCACTCGTGAGAAGATAGACATACCTCTGTGCATTCGTTTGCAGAAGCGTCGGCATTGCAGAGGACACGGCAAGTGTTTGTCTGGCCCTGGCACCAAGTTGCTGCAGGAGTCACGGTGTTAGCGATGGGTGAATCAGGCATGCGCAACTAAAGCGGCGTTTTGACCACCTAACACAGCCCAACTACCTAGGTAGTCAAGGTTGAGAAGAGTACTTGCCTCGATCAGTCTGGCTGACAGAGTTGGGATCAATTGTCATATCCAGCTCGCTGGTGTAGTTGTAGGTGGTTTGGGCGTGGGCCGAGGCAATAGCCAAGGCGGCGAAGGCTGCAGAGTAGCGCATTGCAATCAGAGACGCGAGGTGTGAGCGATCTTGCCGAGAGCCAAGAAGCCGAGAAAGCTGAGAGCTGGGGTTGGGAGTTGGCAGCTGGAGGCTGGCGTGTAGGAAAACAAATCAGGCGTGCTGTCAAGGACAAGCAGTGCTACAGATGCGGGTAGAGCTTCAGAGGCGGCAATGCAGTATCACTTGGGTTAGCGTATAGCTTGAAGATGCTTGGATGCGATGATTGAGTGGTGGTGAGGAAAAGAATAAAAGAGAAGAGGCCGAGAAAGGCAGCTAGAGATGGGGGCAACGAGAAATAAAAAAAAAACAGGGCCGGCAGGTGCTCGGTGGGCTTCAGTTCTCACACACCAGTGACGGACCTCACACATCAATTGACCACACCTCTCTCCAACTTGCAAGGCACGAAGCAAGGCACGAAGCAACCAGAGACCTCCCAGGCGGGAAGCTAGATTGGAGCTAACAGAGCACCGGCCGATAACAGCAAGGGCAACGGGGTGCAACGGCCTTGGCCGGACTAATGCAATTTTAACCAACAGAAATGGGGCATGACTTGGTGGCACTGCAATCCGTGGCTCACCAGTTGACGTTGCAATGGCCCGCCATCCACACTCCATTGGCGTTGGGGCTAAATGGGCCAGAAAATGGCCTGCCCGGCTCCATGCGCAGCTTGGCAAACAGTGATCAGTTGCAGCGTCTACGACAGAGCTTTGCAACCATGGCCAGGATTAGCATTCTGGTGCCAGCGTCGCCATCATGAAGCATTGCTATCGGCATCGGCATCGGTGTCACCATGAGGCAGGCATCGCCCTTCGACCTCAACCACCTTTGTTACCATCAAGTTACGGAGTACTCCGTGAGATTTCAACTTTTCTCCCTGTTTCCTTCCATCATCAAGTCCCTCCTCCTACTCTCCCTCTTCCTGCCCAGCCATTCGCACGCAGCCTGCCAGCTTCCATATTACCCACCATTTGACGTCTTTCCGCCTACAAAAAAAGTTCATGGTTACGACCATCCAACGACTCAGCACAACATTGAAAAGACCAGCACTCGGCCCGCCTGGGCTGGTGGCGACTAAGTCTCGGCGTGGCGCCAAGTCTCTGGAGAGCCACACGGTACACCCATGCCTGACAAGACGTAACGAGACGCACTGAGACGCAATAAGATGACGACATGGGCAGTGGCCGCCTGGTCAATTACTATTACTATGTATGTTATTGCCTCCTGGTTTTGTTGTGCGGGAGCGGCTCCTCTCGCATTCTACTCCGTTCCGACTACTCCGTACATCCACGGACAACAAAATTGGTTAAATGCGACAATTGCCTCCTCTCATCAGTGAGGAGAGAAACTTCGTCACAGGCCGCCCGAGGTTGGGTGGTTTCCAGTTGCCAGGGTATCCGTACCCATAACGCCAGGCTTGTTTACCACAGACATCCATCGAAAGCATCTGCCACATCGTGGCAGGCTTGTGGGCACGGCTCCGGCTGGCACGGCCCAGGTTTGGCCGCCATGGTGAAGCAAAATACTAGGAGTAACCGATTCATCGACCAGGCCTGATGAATCAGATTCTGGTTCAGGGACATTTGCCGGGGTGTCTCGACACTCGCTATGCATCGTGGCACCATGCCTTTGGGCCAGTTATCGTGAGGGATGACGATGAAGGTGCATGCCATTCAAATAACAAGGCCCCGCTGTGTTGCTGGGGGCTGATCACCGAGGTTTCAAGACGGCCACCCCATCTCTTCGCAATTCATGGGACAAGGTTCAGTTTCATCCTTGGTGTCATCTATTTGTACCGCAGTCTATCTGTAACTCAACTGACCGACTCTCCAGTGTCGACCACAAGTGCCGTGGTTGGCCTCCGAGAGACCGACGACGAGGTTGGTATCAAAGCTTACTGCCGAATTGATACAGGTGCGCCATAGATATCGGTGGCCCGCATCAGCGGCATGCACAATGGCCAATGCTTCGGAGGGTAGCCACAAAAGGCCGTACATACATACGTGCCATGGGAAGCCGGCAGGCTTGCTAGGCCTTGGGAGGGGACAAACCAAGCAGGCCCGAGGCATTGTTATGTTATTTTGTATGCATTTGTGTGGCATCCTGCGAACCGCAAGCTGGATGTTCAAACAACCGTACGCAAGCGGCTAATATCGCCGATGTGACGCAAGGGCGGAGGGAACACAGCACCCATGCTCTTTATTACCTTTTGCCTGGTTGCACACAATCCAATGGGTCGGCAGCACCACAAAATCTTTGTTGCCCCGTCCAGGTTGGCATGTTTTTAAGCTGCTTCGTCTGGGCCTTGGACCTCGAGGATATTAGTGTGTGCAATAATGCTTTCGCTTGAGGCGGCGGATTGCGAATAATGCCTCACAGCAGGATCTATCGTGGAGAACTCGATGGTGACATCTAGCAACACTTTTGCAACTGCTTCGCCTACACAAAAAAAAAAGCTTTTCATGTCAGTGAGAAGCGCAATCCTCAGAGGTTCAATGTTACCTAGGTATTGACTGATGACGCCAAGGACTCAATTCGGAAATGTCGGCAGCGCCGGCTCCAGAGTAGGTCAGGTTCCTGGCCTAGGACAATCTGGAGCTAGACAGGCCAATGAGGAACGCGAATTGAGGATATAGCCAGCCACGGGAACTTCCATGTCTGTTGCTCTCGATGCCTGAATGGATGGTGGGGAGAAGAAAGCGAGCCTGAATGGCGAGGCTTCTGTACCAGACATATTACACAGATGGGTTGATGGGAAACCACTTGCCATCAGCGACTAAGTGGATGGGCCACCTATGTACTCCGTACATAGACATGTTTGTTATCGATTTATTAGTGCCTCCAACACCTGAGCAACACACCCCGCCCTTCCTTCACAACGACGCAGACAGCTCTGTGTGTGGCGACGACGCCTTAGGCCTGCAGCGGCCTGAACTTGGCAGCCATTGAAGTGGGAGACTGTTTACATTCCGTTTTCTTGTTTGCTGTGCAGGAATTGGGTACTACGATAATTGTCTGAGTAATGCCAAGACACAAAGAGGTGTTGGTCAACACGACATGGCGAATACGGGATCGCACTTTGATAGTATGTTCAATGTTGGCTTGATGGCAGTTTTCCAGCCTCGTACAATCTAGCGAGCTAATCAGTCCAGCCCCCGCACCATCGATGCTGCAATGACAGGACCACCACAGGACCGTTGACAACGACCCCGTAAGGTACCCATGCAACTTTGATCGATCTATGACGGAAGTGCTTGCAGCTGTGCTCTCTCCGCAATTCAACATCTGGTTGGTGATGGGTGGCATGGGCCACTAGCTCCTGTGGCGCAGCCATTGAGCCGGGCTTGTTGCAGTAGATGCATTTATCTACGTCCACTGCAAGGGGAACTCGACGCGGTTTTACCAGTCAGTTGACAATGATTGGAAATATTCAACCAGAAAAATTACTGCACGGTTCTCTGACGATAATCGTGCTTTGGCTCTGATGGTCTGACTGACGCGACTGACGACATCCCAAATCTGACATCGAAATTCTACGAGATACAACACTATCGGTACATTGCCCAATTAGATTACTGTAAACTTGGACTTTGAATGAGAAGCCATGTAACTACCCAACGCAAAGGTGTTGCGCAGCTTGTACCCTGCTGGTATCTCCTCCAATAGATATGCGAACAACCCCCGACAATGCGAAAGATTATCATGGTTGTTGAGACGCCCATGTTTCCCGTTACATACGCTGGCAACCACGTAAAACAACGGCGAAGCGTGCGTCTAGGAATCTAGAGGAACGGATAGGAAGGTTCGTGATGGGCTCGAGCCTTACTGCCAAGACTGATAGCAACGCCACCTTGGGGTTTTGATATAACAGACACTAGGGATAGATGATATTACCGTTATAGGCTGAATCGCTTCAATGCACATCTCGTGACTCATCACTTGTAAATTCAGCCTTTGCTGTGCTGACTGAATCCGCTTCGAGGATACCAACCTGATAAGGAGGTAGTTGTCAGCTACTCAGAGTCGGTTATAAACCTCACCACCTCCATCCCGATCCCGGCCAAGACGCCAACCTGCCTAACCACCGCGTACTCGAAAAACAGTCTTGACGCCTCGGCGTCCCCATCTGCCGCCCACGCATTTATCAGCGATAACTCCTTCTCTCGCCCCGGCAACTTTCCAATATCGGCCAGCATCTCCCTCGCCGCAACGCTCAGCTCCCAATCCGCCAGCTCCCCGGGACACATCTTGATGACCATGATGAGCAGCATCTGACACAGTGAAACCTGGTCTATATTCGACAGCGTGTCCTGGAGCTTCTGATCCAGTCCGCTTCTCGCCGCCGCCGTATTCCCTGTGCCCTCGGCAGTATTAGCTAGCAACTTGGCCATCATGAAGAGATTCTTTAAGCGAACGGGGTGAAACGGCGCCGCATAGCGGAACGGGTCGCAGGACGTCGCTGCCAATGCCGTCACGGCCAGGGCGCACGGGAAGTCGTCCCTCTCGGCAAAGTAGATTGCCGTTTCGGCGAGGAGTTGCGGCACAGGCGACACGGCCCACAGACGGGCGTCGGCGAGCCTCCGAGAAAGGCGGTATTGCGCCTTGAGAGCCGCGTAGCGGGCGGGCAGCGAGTCTGGCAGCCGGGCTGGTTCCGTGGTGTATCTCACCGCCACGTCCTGCGTGGTCTTGTCCGTGACGGCGGGATGCTCGTCGCCGCCCGACACGTCCGCCACGCTGTACGTGCTTGGGTATAAGTAGGCTGTGCGGACCTGGTACACGTTCAGGTCGCCCTTGCACCTGGCGCATGTGCACTCGAAGCTGTACTGCTCGAGCGCCTCCCTGCGTGCGGACAGGGGCATCGTGTAGTCTGCGTGTGTGTTAACGGGGCCTGTTTGCCAAGGAAGGAAAGGGGGAGGGTTCGGAACGCACCCGTGTAGGATATTTCAATCTCGTCGCCGGCCTGGATCGGCCTCTCGGCCCTGAGTATCGCCTTGCGGCCTACAAACTGCACCACGGCGTTGGGCACGCACGAGTGGTTGGCCATGGCGAGCGTCGGTTCCAGAAACACGCCTACCTGGCCTAGGTCCACGTCCCATCTGTGAAACGCATTCGTCTGGATCTGCGGATTGTCAGGTACGTTTGAAGAAGAAGAAGAAGAAACTACTGTTGAGAGGCGTGGGAACGCGTATGCTGTATGTACCTTGCAAAGCAGCTCGACTGCCCGGCGGATGTTGCTCTCCCCTTGTCTCCCGGCAAAGGCACACGCCGCCATTGCCATCATCTCCAAGTCGGGCCAGGTCTTGGTCTTCCTCCTCTCCTCGGTGTGACCATCTAGCGCAGCGATCCCGTCTTCAATCTCCTTATTGAGAAGGGTTTGGAGAAGTGCTCTCACGGGGGTGGGGAGATCGGCGCCTGTTCGGGAACCCAGCTTGCGTTGTTGGAGGGCCTTGCATTCTTTGGAGTGGACGGCCGTCCAGGCAGCTTGCTGGCAGCTGGTGTTGCAGTAGTATGCGGCGTGACAGCGGGAACACGCGCGCGGCGAGCCGGGACGGAGGCAATGCGTGCATACGGATGCGAGCTGCGAGAGCGATGGGTGTAAGATGAGTGGGTGGAAGGTGTGGATGATCTGGGAGGGTTTGAAGCGCTGCGTGGCGTGGAGGGCGCGGTATTTGGAAGGATGGGGGCGGGTTTCGATAGGCGGCATATTTGTTTTTCGCCATGTGTTTTGGAGATGGTATTGGGCCGTTGTTTGATGTGGTGGCGAGGTTGAGTGGTGGTGGATTTGGTGATGGAAAATTTGGGGTTGTTTGTGCAGGGTTGACGTTGGAGGATGACCGTGAGAGAATGCCGCCCACAGCACGGATGGTGCCTTATTTTCTCAACATGATAGTTAATGTGGCATGACGTGATTTCAGTCTTATGTGGTTTTTGAAGAGGCTCCAAATTCGAGATAGATGACAGCTGCCATATGACTACCAATTACCTACGTAGCTATGCAATGGTACATGTACGCTTCTACAGCTCCTCATGCTTCCTCTCATTACTTTGCTCTTGCCTCGCCGCCGCCAGTCGGTCATTTAACTGCCAACTCCAGTCCTCCTTACTGGCCTTGCTTGACTTCATAATCCTCTCGACATGATAGTCCCAGCATCCCTCGGCCGTCCCAGACTCTTCCGTCTGACACAGTTCATCGCCTAGCTTGGGTAGATAGGGCCATTCCCCCAAAGTCGCACCCGTGTTTTCATCCAAGAAGTTATCTAGCACAAGCTGCCCAACTTTTCGTTGAGCACCAGCCCATGCCTTATCCTCGGGAATGAGCACCTTCAATAGCGATTCCATGCCTCCTTCTCTGAGAAAGTGTGTTCGAATAGAACCATCTTTGATAAGTCCATTGATGACAGAAACCTTGGGCTTGACCCGGGCAGCTGCCTGCTGGGCATTTGCGCCTTCTCCGTTCCGTGATGGTTCAACACTGGAATAGAGGCTCTGGCGCAGAGACTTGCCGGTGTTGGGGCACCTGGATTCAACGAGTAGCTGTGGCCAGAAACCGGTGACTTGCTTGAGTGCGGCTGGATTGTTCTGAAATACACCAGCCAAAATCGAGGCAGCTTGCTGGTCGTGAGGAACAGCTCCATTGGTACTTGGAGCGCTCTGGCCACTCATGAGGCACAGCAGCGCTTCCATGGCCTCTGTATCCTCGGCAATGTTCAAACCATAGTACATGTCGTGGGAGAGATCCTCCAGCGTCTCTAGGGCATCGTCAAATGCTTGATTGTTTTTGCTGGTTCCGCTCTTGAGCATGTTCAGTCCCTCGACAAGCGCGGCGGATTCATGCTGTGGTCCCTTGACTTTTCCAACCGGCTCATACTCTGGCGCGCCTTTCGGGATTTTGGGGGCGCCTAGCTGTTCCTCATGGTCGACGATGACCACGGCTTGGTCAACGGGCATCCCTTCTAGAGAAGGATCGATCTCGTCAGGGACATTGATCTTGGCTTCCTTTAGACCTGTCCAGATGTTTAGGCGGACGTGGAGCCCTTTGGGCAGTTCTTGATCATCGTGGACGATCTGGAATTCCTCTGTAGGTTGGAATACCCGTGGGTAACATTCGTCGGGGTTAGATGTGTGACAAATAAGGTCTGGCTTGGGGACATTGGAAGAATCAGAGTGGTCAGCTATCGAGGGCGCTGAGAAGATGCAGAGGATTAGACCGAACAGCAAGGCTAGCATCGTGGGTAGATCAGTGGACATTGAGCGTGACCCAGGCAATTCGGCCCCGAGAAGAATGCGTGGCTAGGTTTCTCAGAGTGTGTTGTAGGCGTGCTCGTAGACAATGATCTGTAGATAGCTGTGGGCGATGTCAGCTTAATAGCAGAAGAGGCAGATGACTTGGATGGAGAGGAACAGGATCAACTTGGAATGCGGACGCGACCTTGTAGATATACTACGTGTGTGGGTATTTTAGGTTTTCAGCGTGACTCAGCGTGAGTCACGGGCACAAACTACAACATGCAAGGTTTACTTCCATGATCACGGTAGCTGAGGCTATCGCGAGATAACCTTAGCTAGCGGGCCGCGGTATGGCATTAATTACGCTGAGATGCTGTGTTTTTTTAGTCTCTTATTGTCCTTGGCCTGGTATAGCTTAATATTATTTTAGATTTTATGCTTGCACGATACTCGTATCATACTTATAGTTTTATTTAACTACAGAGCGAAACAATACTCCCCGTTCGTTAATTAATTAAGACAATGATCTGCTCCGACCTAATCTAAGCGTGTCGTCGCTGTGGTATATCGACAGAGGATGATGCATCGGCCAGCCGACTCTGTTGAAACGATCCGGCACTAGCAATCAACAGGTATCCGTTGTTCATAATGGATGAGTCAATTTTTGAAAAGGACACATATATTCGGATATCACAGTCGGACATCGAACTTGGTAGAAAGCGCCATCGCGAAACCCGCCAGCGTGGCTACTACTGGCACCCAGCTGTCCACTTTTCATTGGCCGACAGCCAGCTAAACTGCTTAGTCTTGGGCAGGCTGTCACTGCACGCCCCGACATACTTTGTCTGCATGTGGCCCGACTCCCAACTTTTCAAGCAAAGCGGAAAGATGTAGCCCAAGTGGTAATTCATGACCGCGCGCGCCGGTAAAGGCCATCCAGGGACAGCCTTGGCCACTTAAAGCGTGGAACAAAGGACACGTAATACCGCTGACTCACGCCTAAATTACTATTATTGGCTTAAATTTTTATGCCGACACGTATCTTTGTGGATCATCATGATCTGCTGTTTTTGGTGTTGAAAGTGTTGAAGGCTGCACCTTCCACAGGTCACCCGCACCTCGATAAAGTCAACACCAACTCCAACACCAACACCAAATTTAGCAGCCTCAAAAGACTCGAATTCGGAAGCTTCAACAAAGCCCGAATTTCGAAGCAGCTTTAATTTTGGCCCGCCCGGCTCAGCGCTTTGCTAACACCTATGACAAGGGCTTACGTTGTCGTCGGACCTAGCACGACCACAGCCGACGATGCGTCTTCTGAAAACTGGCCATGCTAGCTCCAAAGAAATCGACAACGACGCCTCTTGGATACCTAGGTAGTTACACACCAAAATTTGAAATACGGAGAGCTTTGCGGATTTTCTTGGTGCTAACCCTCCCCTCCATTCCATGGTGGCGGGGTCGTCGTGGTCAGTTGCCAACTTGCATACCAACGGGGGGCACAATTGCGATTAATCTCTTTGCGCGGGATTCACGAAGTTTGACTAGCCAGAAGCTAGTTTTCATCCCTGATGAAGAAGAGTATCGTGAAGTTGCAAGATGTCAAGTTAGCCCTGACTAGTGGTTTCCATGTCGTCACTTTCATTCAGAGAAGGGGCTGGGTGACGTTGAGAGATGGATATAAATCGTTGGCCGCCTTCACCAAGTTTTCGCATCAGTGCGGCATTCCGAATTCAAACCATCTGCCATTAATATAAATTTAGCCTTCAAAATCCCTTGGCCCGGACAAATATTCGACTTCCCCCAGATGCTATGGCGCTCCGCATAATGACCGCCGGGGTGTCGCACAAGATGCTGTCCATCTTCGTTCTAATCGCTCTGGCCTTTGGCATAAATGCAGCGCCAACTACCGAACACCACTCACATTCACATCGAGATATTCACTTAAAGCGGCTAGGCAGACACAAAAGCCACGGTCATGCCTCATCAGCACCTATAAATCCGCCGAAGTCGACGCATGAGAGAGAAGGAGAAGTGCCCAGGGTGTATACTTTGATGCATTTGCATAGCGAGTCTCGGCCAGAATGGGTGAGGAAGCGGTTTTAGGACTCTTGGCTGGACCACCTCTGTTTCCTTTTATTGTCTCCTTTTCTTTTGTCTTCCTTATGACACGAACTTTCTCCCGGGCATAGCACAAAGCGGCAAGGCAACAGGTCGATGAACATATTGGCTTACAGTCGAAAAGGGATGCTGGGATCATTAGGCGCTGATGATTATCAACGCGTTGACATGAGTCATGACATTGAAGAAAGAAGTGAGCGGCTGGCTTCACTCCAGGTGCGAGGTATGCAGTGGAAACTTGCATCTTTTGTATAATGATAATATTATCTAGTTCCAAGTGTCTTTTGACTTTGGCTCCGTACAAATCCAGCGGGACTGAAGTGAGCCGCGTGATGGCCGGATGATTGTGATGCCCGAGAGAAGATGCATGTGCGCATGAGGTGGCGCTGGGTCGTCCGAGGTGCGACGGTGGGAATGGCAGACCTGGACCCACATCAATTAGTAGTGACCAATCCCGCAGTCCAGAGAGCTTTGACCACTTCACCTTGCTACAGCTCCAGCAAGCTTATTCCGTCCATGTCTGGTACTACTACCCCATACTCCGTGCAGACCAGCGAGTAGAGCCATGTTCGCATGCTCGCATGTCTCCTGAGGCCCTCCGCCAAGATACCTGACCAATTTCCCACGAATTCACCCGCACGACTCTGACATTGACGCTGCACAACCCCAAGTCGCTCATTCAGAAGTCATCGACGTCAAACATTTTCCAAACGACGACTCGACAGAGCCGCGACGCCACCGCAGCTATAGCGAAGCTCTGACCAGCGGTGCTCTCTGGCTGATCTAGCAGCTGATCGAGCATTTAAGACTCTTGTATAGTTACTCGTCCGCAAAACCCCATCGATATCCTCTCCAGAATCACAATATGCCTTCCCCACGACGGCTACGTCTGCTCGCCTTGGCGGCCATTGCTACCGTCGTATTCTTTCTATTCTATTCGTCCGGCGTCGACCCCAGCCAGGACTCGCACACGATCCAAGACTTTTACCACAAAACCATGGACGGAATGAAGAAGGGATCCCCGCCAGGGCAAGCTATAATAAACACCAAAACGGGGGAGAAGGCGGGCCATATTCCCGCAGACAAGGACGCCGACGGCGACGTTGACGAAGACGACAGGAAAATCACCGCCGAAATGCAGCTGCGCCTAAAACAGGCTGAGCAGGACGCCAAAGACAAGGCCAATATAAAGGGTGGGCTGAAGCCCGACATCCCCAGTGAGATTGTGGGCAAGGGCAATTCAGCGGAGGGCCAGCCCAAGAAGGACAAGAATGCGGCCGCCGACAAGGGCGTGTCAGGCAATGCAGACAAGACGACAGACAAGACCAAGACCAAGACCAAGGAACCAAAGGAGGAGAGCGAGGCGGAAGCCGAGCTGAGTAGTATTTTGAAAAAGGCACCAGGTAAGATTCTTCACAATATGTTCACACCAGAGAGGAGAAACAGAAGATGAAGGGAAATCGCTGCTGACCAAGCTACTAGTCGTCATCTTCTCCAAAACGTACTGCCCCTTCTCCAAGACAGCCAAGGGCATTCTCCTCGACAAATACCACATCGCCCCCGTACCATTCGTAGTCGAACTCGATAAGCACGCTCAAGGTGCGTCCCTGCAAGATGTCCTGCTCGAAAAGACTGGTCGCAAGACGGTGCCCAACATTCTCATCAACGGCGTCAGCATCGGCGGCGGCGACGACATTGTTGAGCTCGACAAGCAGAACAAGCTGGCCGACAAGATCAGGATGCTCGGCAACAAGCGCGTCAAGGTGTCTGAGCGATTTGCCCCAGACGAGATCAAGAAGTAAACTCTTCATTTTCACAACTCTACCTATTCGCTCCATGCTTGTTCGAGTATTATTAGTAGTAAAGTGGTCGGGAGACGGGGCACGTTTCAAAGGGGCTTCAATTGCCCCACGTTCTGGTGTAACACTTCCCAGGTGATGACTGCATTGGGTACACGGAGTTTTTGGCGCCTGCACAAATATCAAATGGGAAGGGCTTTTCTTTCTTTCTCTTTTTTTTGACTTTGTCCGGGGGGGCAGGGCAAGGGGAATGAGAGGGAGGTCTAGTATGGACAATGTCGTAAATACCAGTTTCAACATGGCTCATGAAAAGATCAACAGTGTTCTGACTCCTAAAGGACTGTTTCGAACTATGATTGTCGCCATGTCGCAATTTCCACGCAATCACCGACGCCCAGTCATGCCAGGCACGCGTTTCAAAAAAAAATCGTCTTCTGGACGCCATAAGTTACCATACGATTTCAAGCACGCTACTCCGTGTCGCATCGCAAGAGGCATGGCTTCGCGTGCACCTGTGTATGCACCTTGTTATCAGCCTTCCTGATATGGCTGTTGCCTGGCATCCCAGCAGCGAAGCCCAGGAAAAGCCATAGAGGCATCACCATCACGATATCGAAACAGTCTCCAAGGGACATTCTGCATTCACCACCAGTCAGTCACGGACAGTACTATATAAAAATTGCAACGCTCTCTGCCCACCTCCCAGAGGCTTTCTCGGCCAAACGAACCAGCGTATGTATTCGTATTACAAAGTGAAAAGGATGCAATCAGACAGGGTCCCCCGGCTATCTGGCCGCGCACCTATCAAACACGGCAGGCATGTGGCGTTCTAATCCAGCGCACATTGGGAATGGCGTTGGGAGGTGCGCGCGATGCTCATGTTGGCTCGCTCGTTGGGATCACGAGTCAAAGCCGGGGTAATCAGGATGTCGCTCACTCTATGAGCACCTTGCTTTCTTTCTTCCTTTGTTGTTGCTGTCCCTTTCCCCTCTTGTCTCACTCGCATCGTCGCCTTTCATTCGCAGCACATAGTATTCTGGGCGCCGTGGGAGACGATTGACCGTACACGCCAAGGACGAGCCCCAACCCCCGTCAACTCAAGTGCCTGTCTTTTTCTTTTTTGTTGGCAGCGCGAGATCTGCCCGCTCATCGCCCTGTTGATTACCCTTGCTACCTGCGGAACCCTACTCCATACCCATACTACTACCCTACAGGACGATGCGGCGGCAATCCACCAGCTCCGCCGATTCGGACGCATCGTCCACCTACACTGTCTCAACTACGGCCTCCTACTCCAAGGAACCTCTACTGGACAGTGGCGTCGAGCCTCGCCGCGGTCTGCGCCAGAAGGCGAGAGATGTAGTGTCCGACTTGGGCAAGCCGCCGACTTCGCGGCAGGATGCGAAGGAAGGGAAGCATACGTCGAATTTTGGGGATCCGGGGTTCTTGTCAGAGGTGATGCGGCCGCCCAAGTTTTGAACGGGTCAACTGGCGCGGATGAATACGACCTTTGGAGCTGTGAAGGAGAAAGGTGGACGGGGCAAATTCATGGTGGATTGTTTGGATTTGCGACAGCGACTGATGCGAGATTTGGCTCTATAAGTTGGTCGTTTAGTGGCGGAATACTATTACGAATTGGTTTGGCTCGTTTGCAGCTGGGCTGGACATGAGACTTGGACGAAATTCTTGTGTCAGTGACGCGTTGTAGTATAGGAAATGCATTGCCATGACTCTGTCACGAAAACCGGCTTTCGGAATCGCCCGACCTGGCACGTTCTTGCTGTGTCCCAGTAAAGATAATCGGGCCGCTGGCTTCGGTTTTGGAAACGTCACGCAAGCTGTCGACAAACGTGCCTGCAAGACATGCGGTCGAGAAAAACACTGCTGGTCGTGAAAATCGATGGCGGTGGAGTCCGGGATCTGGTTGATAATACTACCTTCGCTGCTGATCAACGACGACGCCAAGGGCTATGAGACAACGAGATCCAGGCGACAGGCGATTGGTCCCGCCTACCTGAAGACGTCCAAATCGGGGTGGAAGTAAAGACAAGCTGCCGAGACGAAACACCAACCAAGTGAGACGCCTTGTATCCACTGATACTGGCATTACGACGATTGGAGGCTGTAGGCTGCTACGCTCAGGGATGAGCTTCAATGTTGGTCAACACTGAACATTGAACCGTGTTGCGTACTAAGTAGATACTTCGTATGTATCGACTGGTCCTCGCCAGTCTCGGTAGGTGTGCTGCAGAAACGCCTGTCTTGGGGGCACAGCGGGCTGCCTCGGTAGCACCTGCCTCGGCTACGGCGCCTTGGCTCGGGGGGTCAACGCGGGGTCGGGCGAGGAGCTTAGGACGGCAGGAGCCATCGATGTAGTACATACACCCACTGTATGTGCGGAGTACCGGCCCGTTTGCAACCCCGACCACAAGCCAACTCCGCCTTTCTACCACAGTACGTTCAGACCTCTGCACTAACTACTCCATACAAACACAGCCTGGACTTGGCTCCATTCATACACGAGGCCTCACTTCACAGCTTGGCCGAACCCCCGCAAATCACAAGCATGGAAATCCATCAGTTAGGCCAGGGATACTGGCGGGAGTGTTTGTCCGACGCCGGGCCTCTGGCATTAGTGGACAAGGCACACTCTCTACATAACTGCCCTGGCTCCACCGACATAGTGATCGAAGTGCATTTAGAGACTGGGGACCTGGTGCTTTCTTCTCCTCGGTCGATTGACCCTTCCCATTCTTCTTTCTTTAGTTGAGCGAGTTTCTTTCGGATAGACACCCTCGGTAACGTGCCTTTACACCAAGGCAAGTTTTTGCAAGGGCTGACTTACACCCAAGCAACGCGCTACGTGCTTGTCCTGACTTTGATGACGGAGAATAACCCGCGATTCATACAAAACATATATTTCACACACTGATAAATCCCTGGTCTTTCTAATATGGTCGTATCTGCTGCTGGTCTTTTGGGGCAGAGGCTGAACCAGCCCCCCCCTCCTGGAAAACCTCATGGAGTTGCAGTCCCAGGGACCCAAAGACCGGGAAGGTCTCCCATTTACAGACACTGGCAAGTAAAAGACAAGCCTTTGATTAGCACGCTAGATCCCAACATAAGAACCATACACGACCTATTTGACGAGTCAGCTCAACGGGTTCCCAACAATAACTGTATGGGTGTTCGTAAATGGTTTCCAGAGACGCAATCATGGGATAACAAGTATTCGTGGGTCTCGTACAGCAATGTTGCTGAACGTCGCAAAAACTTTGGAGCTGGCCTCGTGGAACTTCACCATCGGATCAATCACCCCCAAGACAAGTATGGGATTGGACTTTGGTGCCAAAATAGACCGGAATGGCAGATAACCGGTAAGCCCACACACATTGAAGGGGAAATTTGCCAGGTCCAACGTGTTACTGACAGTTGCATGCTTGCAGACCTTGCCTGCATGTCGCAAGGCCTCTTTGCCGTCTCTATTTACGAAACCTTGGGTCCGGATGCCACCGAATACATTATCAATCATGCCGAGCTAGCCTGCGTGGTCTGCTCCCTCCCGCATATACCGACACTTCTGAGGCTTGCACCTCGCCTTCCTCATCTTAAACTAATTATATCTCTTGACCAACTTGAAAACGGAGAAATGGAGGGCTACTCGAAGAGGGATGCTCTGAGCGTTATTGCGTCAGACCTTGGTATCCAGATTTTCTCAATGAGCGAGGTGGAAAAGATCGGTCTCGAGTCCGGTCGCCCTATGCGTCCTGTTGGCCCCGAGGACCTCTACACTATCAACTATACTTCTGGCACGACTGGTCATCCGAAGGGGGTCCTCCTTACCCATGCTGCAACACTTGCAGGTAACACCGCGGCTCGCATTGGAGCAAAATCCTCAAGCGACGACGTCGGGATTTCGTACCTACCATTGGCTCATATCATGGAAAGATTGGTTGAGCATGCCACGTTTGCTGAAGGTGCGAGTTGCGGCTTCTTCCGAGGAGATATCTTGGGACTGGTAGACGATATGCTCATTCTCCAGCCCACGGGCTTTGTGTCTGTGCCTCGCCTGTTCAACCGTTTTAACAGTGCCATTAGAGCTGGTACGATTGAGGCTGAAGGGTTCAGAGGAACTCTGTCCAAACGAATCCTAGACACAAAAGTGGCTTCCATGAAGCTCCCTATCGGCCAAGCCACTGTTCAGCATTGGCTGTGGGACCGCATCTTCACACCGAAGATCAGGGGGAAAGTTGGTCTTGGCCGGGCAACTAAACTTGCCAGCGGCAGCGCGCCACTCGACCCCAAGGTTCAAGAGTTCCTCTCGGCCATGTTCGGAGTGAGGCTCGCCCAAGCCTACGGTATGACGGAAACCGCCGGAGCCGTAACAGTGCCGCTAGATGGAGACTTTGACACTGGTCATGTCGGTCCTCCTAGCCCGGTCGCTGAGATCTGTCTGGAGTCTATCCCTGAATTACAGTACAGTGTTGACGACAAGCCATATCCCCGCGGGGAGCTCTTGGTACGTGGCCCAATTTTATTCAAGGGCTACTACAAGAACGAGGAAGAGAACAAGAAAACAATAGAGGAAGACGGGTGGTTTCATACTGGCGATGTCGCAACGGTTGATGAACTAGGCCGTTTTACCATCATCGATCGGAAGAAGAACGTATTGAAGCTCTCACAAGGTGAATATGTGGCGCCCGAACGTCTTGAAAACGTGTACACTGCGAATTGCAGCCTTATTGCGAATGCATTTGTACACGGTGATAGCCAAGAGTCTACTTTGGTCGGCATCTTTGGTATAAACCCGGAGACGTTTGCACCGTTTGCTGCCAAAGTTCTTGGTCAGCCTATTAGCCACGAGGACGTGGCCGCCTTGAAGCGAGCAGTCCGAGATCCAAAGGTCCAGGGAGAGCTTTTTAATATTCTGCAGACGATTGGGAGGAAGAACAAGTTCAACAAGTATGAGCATGTTGCAAACATTCTTCTTGATGTTGAGCCATTTACAGTTGACAATGACCTTTTGACACCGACGTGAGTACCATAGAGTTGTCGAAAACTGCCTGGGCCAAGTGCTCAATTCGCTGACGATATGATACAGGTTGAAACTGAAGAGAGCGCAAGCGGTCCGAGAATTCCGAGGAGAGATTGATCGTATGTATGCTGAAATTAATAACAAACAGCCAATAAAGGGCAAGCTGTAAAGACAGCTGTTCGATTTCGTCATGTAGTTTAGGCTTACAAGGGAACCCAAGATGTCATGCGTCGACACGCGAAATGGGCTGTTTCTGTTGCTGCTGCATCTGAAGACGTCGTTTATAAAGAGCGGGCGCAGTGTTGCTGATGCATGCGTCAAACTGGCTACTTATTTCTCTCATCCAGCTTGGCTGTGGTGGCCAGTCTGGTTGCAACGCTGAGTGACGTGGGGGACGGAAATACGTATTCTAAACGCTTTGACGTGGTTTGGGCTCGCCATGATAAGAAGAAGAAAAGCTTGAAAATTACCAATAGAAGAGTCAATGGCTAAATGCAGTATCATTCAGTCAATAGCCGTTGTGACGGACATGTTTCCATACCGTAAGTTGTGATACACATTGAGAAGGAACGAGACGGCCGCATTAACAACACATGCACCCGGTGGTGGAAATACTCCAGTTGTGTTCCAGCGGCTTCCTCAGCGTCGACGTGGGGCGACGGTGCTATACTGGTAATAAACCAATATTTGGCGACCGTCACCAGAGAGATAACCCCGTGTTGTCGGAAATGTCGTAAAGAGACATGGAAGGACATTAACCAGCCTTGGACAACACATGCAAGCTCCCGGTATGTTCTACGACGTCCCAAGTGCAAGCAATGCTCTCCGACATGTACAAATTGGACTCCTCGAGACGAAAATACCCGGGTAGACCAATTGAAGCTGTCGCGAAAGTGGAAATCTCTTTTATCTAATAGCGCATTTGATCCATTCAGCAGCATCTATGAAAATCCCGACCTGTATTTTCCGGCATACGGAGGGGGTAATGTGAAGAAGAGGGAAGGGCTAGCTTTGCCCAAAGAGTTGACCGGGTAGCAGACGACAAGCGGCCAGTTCAACTACTAGAGTATGATTTCTTAGCATCAAGGGCATTATTAATTCTTGGTGGCTCAAAAATATATTCTGCGATACAACAAACAGGCTAACAAGCAAAAAAAGAATTCGAGTAGTCGAAGTGTTGCCCGCGGCCTGGATCGAACAGACGACCTCGTCATTACGAGTGACGCGCACTACCACTGTGCTACGAGGGCTATTGTTATCACTGTGGGAATTATTCTGTACTATATACAAATCACATGGTACCAATTAGTCGGTTGATTACCTGATTACCTACCAGAGTAGATACTACCTGATTTGCTCTCTGCATAATGACCTTTTCTCCTCTCTGCAATTTATATCCCTGCCTTGTAGAATATTTCAATCATACAGTATATTACGTGGTTTTTTTCTTCTGGCTTGGTGCGGCCAAACACGGTGTTTCCAGATGCAATGCTTGCACGATGATTGTATCATGCTGTATTATTATTTATAGTTAAAAAAAAATACTTGAAAACAGAATTTTATTAATTATTTTTAACCTTAGTTCACTCCCATTCTTCTATTCGTATCATTATCAGAGATCTCTGCTAGACAACCAAAAGGCTGCGTATTATGCAACAGCCACGACGGTTCGTTGGCGGTATAGTATTCGACACGGTCGACACGGTATGTTTATACCCGCTCGTTTGCTAATAAATGCTTCCATTTATAAAATTTATGCTACTAATAGGTGTGACGGGCCTTCTTCGCCACTTACAGGTGTATAGTACCGGGATGGATCCCGTCTGGAACCGCAATGACAGATCCGAGATACTGCTGGTGACCAATGCGAAGCGAAGCCCTGAGTATACTTGTGAACGGGGGGGCAGTGACCAGTTAGTTCGTCGGCAGGGAGTCTGAAAAAGCATTGGTGAATAGCGTATGTGACTGACAAGGCACGGGAAATATTGCCATTATAAATAACTAACCATGTACATCATGACGAGGCCCGGCTTATCCGACGCCGTGAGCAGTGCGGCCATTGGCAGGATCCGACTCCACGGCCGCCTTACAGGGCTGAGCTTACAAATTATCACAATGGAGGAATAAAGATGAATCAACAAGCGGCAAGTATATCAAGACCAGAGTGGTCGGTACCTCATAGTCTCATCATCCTGTTCAAACAAGCCAATTACACAATCCACCCCGTCTGACTTGCAATACCCATTCCCTATTCGCAAACGCACATCATCATCACCAACATGCTTCCCACCACCCAAAAAGCAGTAGCAATCGCCTCCCCCCGCAGCCCACTCATCCAAATCACGGTACCCGTGCACGCGCCGTCGCCATCTGAAATCACCCTCAGGGTATCCTACACGGCCTCAACACCACTGGACCTGCATCGCGCGGACGGCGGTCTCCTCATCACCACATATCCCAGTCAGTCCGGGTCGGGCGGCGCATCCGGCACCGTCGTCGCCGTGGGCGCAGACGTCCACGCCATCCAGGTCGGTGACAAAGTCTCCGTCTTCGCCTTCCACGGCGGCAAAGAAGCCAACCACCAGGAATACATCACCTGCGCGGCATACCTGGCGTCCAAGATCCCTGTCGGCGTCTCGGAGCAGCAGGCGGCCACAGTCAATGTCAATCTCTGCACCGTCTTCCACAGCCTCACGCGGGACCTGGGGCTCGCGCTTCCCTGGCCCGCTGAACAACAGCCGCAACGCGGCGAAGCGGTGCTGGTCTGGGGTGCGAGCAGCAGCGTGGGCTTGTACGCCGTGCAGGTGCTCCGCCACTGGGGGTACGCGAACGTCCTGGCCGTGAGCGGCGCATCACACCACGCCCACCTGGAAGACCTGGGGGCACGGAAGTGTTTTGATTATAGGCGCGGGGTGGCGGCGGTGGTGGACGAGATCTTGGCCGAAGGCAGGACGCCATTCATCCTGGATTGTATAGGGAGCTTGGAGGGAAGCCTGGCGCCGCTGAAGAGGATTGCGAGGCGTGGCGATCGTGTTGCGGTCATGCTTCCCGTCATTGTGAGGGATGCGAGTGTTTCGGAGGAGCCAGTGTATGAGATGGACGTTGCCAAGGTTGGCGGGTGGGAGGGGGGCGTTGAGGTCAGGGGGGTGAGGACGCATTTCTATCTTGAGGTTCGTTGGCGTTTTCCCTTTTCTTTCTCCTTGTCCGTCTTTTCGAGGAGAGATACTTCGGTATTGTGCTATTTTTGCTGACTAGGCAGAATAGAATGAATTCTTCAAGGAGCATCTCCAGCCGGAGATTGTACCGACGCTGCTTGCGCAGGGTATCGTTCAGCCAAATAGATACAGGGAGATTGAGGGCAAGAACATGGTGGAAAGGGCGCAGAAGGCGTTGGATGAGTTGCGCAATAGGAGCGTTAGCGGTGAGAGGTTGGTCTGGAGGGTATCTGATGACACGCCGTAGGTATTGCGTGAGCGAGTGAGCGTAGGTGAGTATCGTATCATCATATTGTTACATGGTCTAGGCATAGACATAGCCTGGCCCTTTTTGAATTACGCCGTTCTGTACCCAACATCATTCGTTGTCCCCATGTATGTACAGGTGCTCCGCCTTCATGATTCGTACGTCGTGTACATTTAATTGCAACACCGAGATCTCGAATCGACAATTATCGACGCCCCGACTGTCTTGCTACATTTTCCGGCTGCCCTTGTTGCGGTCAAGATGGTCCTGTGATTGGTAATCCCGTTCTTAGTTTTTTCCCGGAGTGCTCTTCGCAATATGTAGGTAATGATTCTTGTCTGCGAACCACTTCAAGGCGCCCGCCCCGGATTTACTGGTATGGCGGCATCCCCATTCATAAAATGCGCCATGGCATCAAGACCGACTTGCCTGAGAAACCGTTAGCCCACATATTGTCTCAACTCAATGTTCAAGGTGGAAGGAACCATATACTCACGTTGTAAGCATAAGCTTCGTAAAATCATCGCAATCATCCGGTCGAGCGTACATCCAGAAATCCTTAAACACCATCTTCTGGATTGAAAACTGCGGCTTTTCACGCCACGCACGGTAGAACTCGACTGAATTTGGCGCGTCCCAGAGGTGGCGCGAGGCAGTGAAACCAATATCGTCACGCCACATGTCATCGTTGGCTAGAGTAGCTGTCAGCGTTTTGAATAGGCGAGACGATTTGGCATAATATGGAAAAACTCACGAGTTTCTGATTTGAGCATGCACGAAATGCATATAATGGCGTACGAGGTTATCAATGTGCGGCGGCAGCTCTCCAAAAATACCCAGCTCTGACAGACCTGGTCAGTAAAAGGGGGCAAGGAATAGTAATGGACACAGCGTCTGATCAGACAAACATACCTCCCACGACTTTGGTGACTTCTCTCGCATAACTGTGTTCACTCCACCAAGATTCTCCTCCATCTCCAGATTCTCCGTGATGCTATTCAACTCTTTGAGCCACGACACCAGGACGGGAACTTCTCTCTCAGCCGCGGCCCTCAATCCCAGATCACCATCAAAGATTCTCATCGAGTTCAGAATCAACAACGCTTGTACGCGCGACAGCTTGTCTTCATTGGAGATGGCACGCTCGCCCTCGCGATGAATCTCTCGTCCCGCATCCACCAGTAGACGAACAGTCCATCCCTTGTTCGCGGGACCACACGCGGTATATGCCGACGATGCTGAAAACGCAGCAAGGATAACTTTGGGTAGTTGACCGACCCACAGACGCGGATGCATAAAGGGCAAGGCTCTCGTCTGCGTAAAAGTGCTATGCATACTTGTCAAGAAGCTCACTATGTAACCGATTCGTGTGCTGGGGTCATGGACGGCCAACGGATCAATCTCCATGCAGGCAGCCTCAGCGTCCTTGATGAGAGACAGGTCACGAATGGGCTGGAGCTGTTGCAAGTTCTGATGAAGCATGGAGGGCGGTGTCATGTTACAGTGACCGGTAGGCACAGACGGAATTTGCAACTTATCGGTCGTAATCTCCGCAAAAGGGTGCAGGTTCCAGAAGTCGGGTTCCCCCCCGGTAGTCTGGGCCATCAAGTCCACAATAGAAAAGTCAAGTCCGCCAGAGCCATGGGTCGAGTTGCTGAGAGGCACGCCAATATCGGCTTGAAGGCTCTCGGGACTAGTATCGGTGCCCAAGCTGTCCATGTCGAAGCTCATATCAAACTCGGGCACATCTGAGACGCAGGAGGCGGTGCTGGCGGCAGAGGAAGAGGAGATGGTATGAAGGCCAGCGCAAGAGGCAGAAACTGTGCCTGCTGTGCCTCCTGCAGTCGCCGCGGCGGAGACGGGGCACGAGCTGGTGACGGAGCCCAGCGGCCTTGCGGACTCAGCGGCGGACTCAGTGGTGAGGTTGGCTGCGGAGGCTCCGGCGGATGAGCACGTCTCGGCTGTTGATGCTCCAGGGGGCAGTTTCTGGTAGATGCAATCCAAGCCCTTTGCAGAGCAGCGGCTGCACTGTGGCGTGCGCTTATCGCAGCGTCTCTTGCCTCTCACGCAGGCATTGCAGCTCTTTTGGCGCGATGCAGCGGATGCATTGTCGTCGAGTCGCGTGCCGTCTGTGGTGATAGTGACGGTGCTGTGGTCTTGACCGTGGTTCCCAAACGCTGCCGTAAAGGAGTCCATGGTGACGGCGGCGGCGGCGGCAGCAGCAGCAGCAGCGTCGTCCATGTCATCCCATGACCGTTTGGTGCCGTTCATGATGATGAGGATGAGGATGAAGATGAAGTGTTCTGGAGCTGGGATGAGTGAACAAAGGCAGTGGTCCCACCTATCACGCCGAGTATCCCAACTGGGAAAGCGCGGTGCACTGTATTTCCCCTCGAGCTTACAAACAGACTTGAGCAAACGGCCATCAACTCGCCGCCATCTGCACGCAACTTGACCAGAGTGACAATGGGGACAAAGAGACCAAGATGAAGGATAAAATGGTGCAAGCGGTAGCTTCCCATGCCCTCCAGGGAGAAAAAAAAAAACCTGTTTCCAATGCCGACCGACGGTCTTGAGGACACTTCTTCCCAACTCTAAAAGTAAAACTGCCCAGTGCTGCCTAGACCTTGTTAGTGCGTGCCGCCTCCAAACGGTCGGCTCGACTGATGAGCAATTGTCAGCAGCAAGTTGAGAGGGAAAAAGCCACCTTCGCCAATCCCGACCCAGGGACGACTACCTGCGACGTCTGCTCCCAGTCAGCCAGCCACCAGCCAAAGTCCGCAGACGGGAGCCCACAAAGTCCGCACCGAGGGCACCCGGCCACACGGCCACACGGCCACATGGCCACCACGGGGAGCGACGGGGTCCGAATCGGGGCCGAAACTCCGCACCCAAGTCCGCCGTCCGCCCACACCTCGGCGTACCGCGTACTCAACTGCCTTACTATCTATCCATAAAGATTGATTACGTTTTTGCTGGTTACGATTGAACTAATGGATACTAGTCGGCCACGGAGTCAACCTGCCGAGGATCCCGCCCCCCCCTCTCCCCCGGGCCCCTCCCGCGTTGGGCAAAACGCCGCCGGCAGATACTGCCGCAATCCCGTTCAATGTTGACACAGGCATCCAATCGAAAACAAGGAAATGTTGCATATGCCGAGTACAAGAACGCCGCATCCCGCCCTCTACCTCCTCAAGATACTCACTCAAGTAGAGTAGGGTAGTTAGCTGGATTTTGAGCTGTGCCGTTACTCTTCACCACCACAACAAATCCATCAGCCACATTTGAACGCAAAATGCGAAATGCAAAGCACAACGTGCATATACCACATGACAACGTATCAAATCAGTCAATTAACCCTTTAATATGGCCCGTACTATCTCACATCCAGTGGGCCATCCCAACCGACGCCTGCTCCTGAATTTTTTGACCTCATCCGAATCCTCGTTCCTTGACCAAATCCAAAAACAAAAACACTCCGCAACGTGGGCTTTCTAAGACTAGCCCTTTTGCCCCTGCCTTCGTCCCCTCCCGAATCTAGTTTCCTCTAGCAATTGGGTATATACAGTCACCCCTGGACTCTGAAAAATCAAGACCTGTCCTCCCCCTTACCCCAAGGTCTTAACTCGTCACTCACATACACTCTGAAAACGAACATAGCAATTCCATTCCCGTGGGGGGCTGCAGCGCCCATATTGTGTAACTCGTTTATGCACGTTCGCATGCATGTCTTCCTTCGCCAAATGAACGATTCGCCCCGCCTTTCGTGCATGTTAGCAACCCCGGCGAAGCTTTTGTGTATGCAGCGACGTTGCATGCAAATCCGGTGCTGCCCACTGGATTGGGAGATGTTGGTCGTTTCATGTCGGCACAATAACAGCAGCCGAAATTTCAAGAGATACGAGAGCTGTACAAAAAAAAAAAAAAAAAAAAAAAAAGGAACGAGAAAATCCCTGAACAAAGAGAACCCGCCAACTTCCGACCAGCCCAAGTCGGCCGTCACCCACCGGCAGTAGTTGTACAAGTGCCCGCCAGGCCAAACTAAACAAAATTCTGCATCAGCCAACAGGTGCGAAAACCAAAGCATCTAATAACACAAGACGAAGCCTAAACCTTCTGAGACGTCACGGAGAAGTTCGATGATGAAGCAGCACACCGGATTTACTGCTTGTCGCCCAGTGATGGCTAGTGGTGGATGTTGTATAGGCCGAATCCATCCCGCCTGTCGTGAAATCATGCCATTTGCCCAATGGCAAAAAGGTGGATGGTAACATAGGAAATTATCAGAGGAAGCCGTTCTGTATCGACCTAGTCATTGCATGATTGCGTAGATTCTCCGGCCAAAGGATCAGGTTTTGAGCTTGCTAGTATCTTTCCTGTCGGTAGCCGTTGACTCGAGGCGCATCGTACTGGACCCCAGTCATGGAGTCCGGTCCGTTGTGGATGGAGCGTAGAGGTGGCAGTTCGGTTCTGTTGGTATTGGCGTAAATGTCGCTGCCGTACGAGGCTGGCGGCGGCGGCTGTGAGCCCTGTGAGGGTGGTGGAGGTGGCGCCTGCTGGGGAGGGTTCCCAGAAGAGCCAATCTCCCCTCGTAACTGAGCAGCTTCCATGCGCAAAGCTTGCACCTCACGGTGTAGCATCTCATTCTCTGTTGAGGCGTTGGCGCAGTGGTTTTGGAGAGCCCGAATTGAGTCATTTAGACGCTGGTGTTCGGCAATGGCTAAATTCAAAGGTCAGATCAGTTACAACAGGGCACAACTAAAAGGACGGTCGGCGTACCCTTTGTCAAGATTTCCCATTTTGATGCCTTTGATCCTCGTTCTTGGGGCATCAGATCTCTCAATTGATCGAAGAGTTCCTTCATTTCTGTCCGTCGCTTGCGCTCAGCCAGCTTGTGACTAACTCTCAACTCGGGAGTCCGACTATAAGGCTGGGATCCGGGAGGACCGCTTCCTTCTTCGGCCTGGAGATCGCTCAGCTGCTTGTGTTGCATCGTATGATGGTGCACGGGAGGAAACTCGTTGGATGCGGTCGACATGCGAGCATAATCAGCTCCATCCTCTAGTCTTCGCTGACCCGGGGGCAATCGGGACTCGGTAGTGAATTGGCTGCTAGCGATAGACTCTGTGATGCTGCTGCGTCGAGAGTCATCGTAGTGGGCAGGTGGTCCCACGCGCTGGATCTCTTCTTCAGGGAAAGCCCAGGCTTGACCTTTGGTCGGTTCAGCAGCTCGGGCAATGTGACTAGTCGCAGGGCCAGTAATCGCAGGTGCCGTCTTGATGACTTTGGGCTCACCAGGGTTTCGGTCGGCGCTTGGCTGGTAGCCATTGGAAATTCTGTGTACTGACAATGATTCCAGGCCCGGGCGAGGATTTCGTTGAGAGTGAAGAGTATTTTGAATGGAGCTCGTGGACTGGTTGTTACTAGCGTAAGGGGAAGAGCCGAGGCGCATGTCACTGATACCCTGGTTAATTCTGCTGTCAACACTCTCGCGCCTGGGACCGCCACTGATTACGAGATTCTCGCCGAGGGTGGCCCCATTCTGTCCTTGTGATTCAATCGAGGTCGGTCGGTCGAACCTCCGGTCACTGGTCGGCGATGTGGGCGAAACCATGGAGGCAACACTCATGTTGCTTGCCGAAGGCGAGACGAGCGCTTGGGGTACCAAGTTGGTGGCCACCGGGGAAGGCGTCTTGTCTGCAAGCGACGATTGGTATCCAGAGCCTGCTGGGCTAAGGCCATTCACGCTGAAGGAGGCGGCGGATGTGTCTGGAAAGTCAAAGGGCGTTAGCCTACCAAGAGAGGAAGGGGGTTGGTGACGCATAGATTCTGCCGAACCGAAACCGAAACCGAAGCCAAGGGAGTAAAAAAGTTTAATGAGCATTGCAGTGGGAATAACTCACGCTTGCTGGAAGCCTCGGCTGTTGAATAGAAGCCAGAGTCCCGTAGCTGCAGTGGAGGGCCGTTGGTCGAAGGCCGGTCATCGTTGTTGAGGATATTGTTCAGCCCGGCGGCTTTGTGAGGCGCAACGGGCTGATGACTTTGCGTTTCCATCGCTGACATGACGTCGATTTGCACGCCTAGTGGTGATTTCAAATCACTTATTGTTCACTTTTTTCTTGGGCCAATTCACAAAATAGAAGGGTCCCTGTCTCTCGCTCGTAGAGAAGCGCTCAAAGGGCTGTGGAATGATTCGAAACAACTGGTGCGAGCGACGAGGTCGATATGCAGCCGAGTGACGGTGTTGAGCACAAAATATGTCGAGCAACTGCCACTTTCAACTAATCCTTCCGATTATGTTCATAACCCGTGGGCAGAAACGGAGGGTGCAACAGGTTCGCTGAGCGATGAATTGACACAAGCTGGGGTGTGTGACTGCAAGGAACACTGGTAGGAGTAATACATAAAGGAAACGCTTGAGCCGTCGGTCAGGCAGACTGTGTGTATCGAGGCGACAGGTCCGGAGAAGAGCCGGACCCTTAATTAGAATGTAGAGGTATTGGCTCGGCGTTTGTGAGTGTTGATGGGTATGCGCTGTCGGGAGACGTGTACGTGCGAAGGAACCTCAGCTTCGCAGCAACTTTTGGAGTTGAATGGCAGAATCGGGGTACACAACAGTGCATCACCCACCAGGGTGGGTTTCCGATCGTAGTTGCGAGGTCGTGGAAATCAAACGAGCGCACGAGGGTGCCTGATGAGCGAGATACTGTCAAGGTCAAGGCGGAACAGAAGAAACGGAGAGGAGAAGAAAAAGAGAGTGCGTGAAGGATTGGGACGTAAGTGAGAAAGTGGAAGTCGAGTCGACGAGAATGGCAAATGGAGAGTCGAAGTGGAGGAGTGTGTAGACTGGGGGTGGGCAATGGGCATATGGGCAAATGGGCACTAGCACGAGGCACTACGCCCTAGGCACTGGGTTGTGGGTTATGGGCCACGGGCTACTGACTACTGGCCATGGGCCCAGCCAGCACTCGCTTGAGAGCAGAAGGGCCAGGCCTAATCTGGCTGCTGTCTGGTGGCCCTCTTGGTACATACATACATGTACCCGTCTGGTGTACCGAGTACTTAGACGCACAGGGGGCCAGTGGACGGGAAGAGGACGAGGGTATAGCGTGGCACAAATTGCTGCAAAGTACACTCTGTACATGCTGGTGTATCTCGGTACGTACCAGCCGGGTAGGTACCCAGATACCAGGTGCTCAGCTGCGGAGCGCGGCGTACCCCGGCATATATTTGGCGCGAGGTACCTAGTAAGCAGAAAGTACATTGTAGCCAGCACCTGCAGAGCGACTGGGTATCGAGCCTGGTCGATCGAAGTTTCGAGGCACTAGGACCCTTTTGTGAGATCCCTGAAGCAGGGCTTAGCCGGGCTAAGCTACAAGTGACCAATCCGCCAGGCAGCTTTTGTATGCACGCCTATGTACCTACTTTAGGTACTGTACATATGTACAGTTACCTCGATGTGTGCTCCGTACCCCCTCTGGGTACTTCGTACTTACCTGGTTGGTGGGCAACCGTCGACTGGTCAAACAAACTGGTCCGCTGAAATTGCCAATACTCGGTAGATGGGCGCCCGGCAGGCTGTTTTCGAGTCTGGCGTCTTAGAGGTCTCGGACTATTGAAGTGTTGGAGTCTGGGGTCCCGAATCTTCTGCAGCTTGCGCTGTGTTCTGTCGCACCGCCGTTGACCCTGCTCAAGAGTCAAGACGTCCAAGTACTACTTGACACTTCAAATCCCCCAAGCACCAAGTACTACTCGCTTACACCACCTGGGCACATGTCGTACGGCAGCCCACAGCAGCCCACAGCAGCGCCTGGGTACCACTGCAGGTCCAAGGCGCCGGGGACATGGCCACATGTGCAGGCATTTGAGCGACGCGGCACCAGCACTCGTCCTCCTCTCCCCGTCCACGCTTAACGCCTGCCACGGTCTGGTTGGAAGGGGGGGGCACGGGCAACACGGGCACCACGGGGAGCGGGCATCCAAGGATGGATGGGTGTGGGTTAGCGGGAGCGCCACGCCACGAGTGCCAGACCGGACCATCCAACGCCGGACCCAGCGCCGCGCTGCGCTAGAGCCAGTGCTAGCTGCAGTTGAATGCTGCTGCGTGCATGTGCTTTATGTTGCGTGCTGCGTGCTCCACGCTCCACGCTCCACGCTCCATCGGCCAGAGATTGATGGCTTGGGACCGAGCTGCTAGCGTTACCTGACGCCTGATCCCTCGTGGCCTTGGCTGGGCATTGGCATGCATGTGCGCGTGCGCATGCCATGGCAGGCAGCTTATTTCTCTACCAGACCCGTGTAGTGCGCTCCAGACGGCCAGTCATGATACGTTCAGCAGTACCTAGTACCTCTAGGTCGGTGGTAGGAATAGTTTACATACAGAGTATTCCGTACCTTGCTTGCGTCTCTTGGTGATGCCGGACTTGGAACTTCTTGATACTCGCTCCCAACATCAACAACAGCAACACCTTCGTCTGCTTCTTCCACGTGTAGCGGCTGAACCAGCCACGAAAAAAAGGCTTAGAAAATCCTGCGTATAATGTGAATATTGCAACGCGTGCGTCTGTATCAATGTCGCTCCTCCGGCCCCCATGGCTACATTTGGACCTGTTGTCGGCCGCCAACTGGGGGTCGCCATAATATCATCAGCAAGTGTGTAAATTATGTACATAAGCATGCCGAGGAATATCATGTCCGACGCAGCCTAACAGTATTTTGTAGTACTCCCTACTCCATACAGCCACCCTGCTCCGTTATCCCAGCCGTGCCCGGTAAGCGCAAATCGGCCAGATACTCGAGTAATGCACATGTTTCTCGCCGCTTGCCCGTCGCGGCTCCCGAACCGATCCCTCAGTCACCAATCCTGTGCCTGCATGTAGCAGGGAGCAGGGAGCGCTGAACAATGGAACTTGACCAACTTCCAAGTACGTACTCCGTACAGAACAGTGTGTATGTATAGATTTTTGATTGGTCGACATCCTTGTTCGGTACGAAATCGGCACCTTCGAACACGCAAAGGGATACTGACTGAGCGTTGTTATTATTACCTCTGGTGCTGACCACGGAGACGCCCTTTCTGGTTGTGATTGACACCCCAGAGCCAGCTTCTTGATGCCGCTTCTGCACCACGTTAGACAAATGATCAGTGCCCTACCAAAGGGCCTTCGGGGGTTGCCACCATGTCTTCCAGAGAGGGGGTGCAGGGCCCTGCTCGAGGCGTGGATCTCGCTGGTGGTGGCGTGTCATTTCAGTTCCGGCATAATAGCAACTGGTACGGAGCACGCAGTACAAAAAGCTTGACATGGCGGCGCCAGGGGGGAACGCAGGCAAGAATAGAGTATCGATGACGAGCCAGCAGAATCGGAAACGGCGCCAGCGGCGACTACACGTGCGAGACGACAGGCCCCTGTAATGAAGCTCGTCTCGCGGTGCTCATAATCTCGGGAGGACATCTTGTGGAGACGGCCGAGGCGACGAGAAATTCCAGCATGAGTACTGCGTATTCCCCAATGACGTTGCTGAAGAAGACTGTCATGGTAGACAACGGACACGGCGATGGCGACAGACAATGCTCACAGATCAGTCTTCACCAGACATTTTCCAAGTTTGGCTGGCCGGTCTGTGCAATAGCCGTCTGGTGGTGTAATCTGTAGAAGCAAGTGCCACTCCACAGGCTTGTACCGGATGGATGCGCGGAGAAATACATAGTCCGTACAGGTACTCCGTAGGCGAGAATACTACGGAGCGGCAGCCTTGTTGCCTGTGGAAATGCTAAAAACTCCAAAATGCTTGGCTTGCTGATCAAAGTCGTGCCTCTTGGGGGCCCCTTGTCGCCAGAACACAAGAGTGGCACGCGTCCCAGAGGCTGGGCGCCGGCGCCCTCCCACTTACGTAGAACTGTCCAGTCGTCTCGTACGAAAGAACAGGCAGCCACGATTCGGATGGAGATCTGACGCCAGGCTTAGCACTCCGTTGTACTCCGTACGTAGTACTCCGTAGTAGTAGTAGTAGTATTCGCCAGAATGGGGCCCGTGGTTGTCGCCAAGAATATGTATGCAGGCGAAGCTCCGGCGTGGGTCTGAAGCATGGCAACGAACAAGGCCAGGAAGACAGGGATAGACGACAAGCCTTTGGCTGACTGGGCCGCAGTCCTCCCGAGATGGCGCTGTTTCCGGCAGCCGCCAAAGGTCGCCGACGTGGTACGTGGTACCTGCTAGTACCACTGCGGAGCACGTACCAGCGTCATGTTGGGGGGCATGAGGACAAATGGCTCCAGAGGGCGTCTGCTCAGATTGATGGAGCTGTTGAAGATGCTTGAAGAAGCCATCCTTGGGCCTGGTCGTCCATGTTAGCAGCCATGGGTCGTTTCGCAGGACGATCCAAAAGTCTTTCCCCAAGTCCTAGCTGCCACTCCCAGTGGTGATGTGTCCGGTACAATTTTGCACTTCTCTAGTCGAGGGATACCCAAAGGTGAGTTTGGTGGGGACTGGATGTTATGCGCGCCCCCAAAGACTACATAAAGTATGCACTACGTACATTCTTACATAAGAACCTAAATCCACCGAGTGCCAGAAACAAGGTTGAGGCGGTCGGTTCATGGCAATTATTAACTTGTGATGAACCAGAGGCAAGTCTGATGGTGCATCTCGTTGCAGTACAATATACTACTTATGTAGACTACCCGTCGGCAACTACATACATACTTATGTATTCATCTCGCATGCTGTGTATGCTGGGGCGCACGCTCCATGTTGTTGCGCGCATAAAAGTACAGCTCCAGGCTTCGCTCTCGGTGGCGACGCAAACGTGTCGGATGCATAGCCGGGCAGCATATGTACTCCGTATCGACTGTTGGTATTTCAACCATGTCCAACATATGCCACGGGCTCTTTCGTGGATAATTAACAACGAGCCGATTCTCCGATTGTGCTTGGGGGCCGAACATGGATCCACGGGCGCAGGAAAGTGGAAACATGCTTCAATGTTCTGGGAACGGGCATGGCAGATAATAGTTCCTGTTGTGCTGGGTCATCATGCACCAGGTTTTCTGGGCCTAGCGTCAA